CCCCCACACACCCTCACACACAACATACCCTCCCCCACACATCCCTCCACACACGAACATACCCTTCCCCCCCGCGCACCTCTCAACACGAACATACCTCCCCCACGCACCCTCCACACACGAACATACCCTCCCCCACGCACCCTCCACACCACCGAACATACCTCCCCACGCACCTCCAACACGAACATACCCTCCCCACGCACCCTCCACAGCACGAACATACCCTCCCCACGCACCTCCACACACGACATTACCCTCCCCACGCACCTCCACACACGAACATACCCTCCCCCCACGCACCCTCACACACGAACATACCCTCCCACGCCACCCTCCACACACGACATACCCTCCCCCACGCACCCCACACTACGAACATTACCTCCCCCACGCCACCTCACACACGGACTATACCCTCCCCCACGCACCCTCCACACACGAACTACCTCCCACCTCCACCACGCAATCCAATCTTCACCACGCACAAACACCCCTCCGCCCACACATCTCACCACGCACAAACACCCCTCCCCCACACATCTCACAACACACAAACACCCCTCCCCCCGCACCCCTTAAAATTGCGCAAGCGTCTGCCCATCAAGCTACATATCGAATAATACAAGTATACATAATATAAACATACAAGATAGAGAAGAGAGACATTAGTGTATACATATATATATATATATATATATATATATTATATAATATACTAGCATAGATCAGAGAGAGAGAGAGAGATGCGGAGGTAAGCCCCCACCCACCCTCCGTGACGGAGTTTTCGAATTGGCACGACACACGACATCGTCTGAGGAAGGATACAATACGAGTATGTGACGACGTACGCCAGAACTCGACAGACGGGGGTTGCCTTGCCGAGAGATAGGGCAGGACACGATACACATGATTTCTTCACAGCCGCCGCAGTCTGCTATCCACCCCCAGCATCATCACTGTTACTTTATAACTATTATTTCACTGCCGTGAGAGTGCGGGGAGACGGCGCGACGGCCCGCCAAAGCACGCAGATCGTCACTAAGAAATGAAAGGGAAAGGGAGAAGTCAGAAAGGTCAAAGGTCAGAAGGGAAAGGGAAAATGTAAGGGAAACGGGTCAGAAACGCCTCGGGCACACGCCATCACGGACAAATCTCGCCTCTCAGAAAATATTCTCTCAACATCGTCGGGCCTCACATTTTCCATTGTGAATATATCTATCTATCTACACGGTCATCGAACGTGTGCGTGAGGGTCGCTCAAGGACACCCCTAAACATGTCCTCTATATACGGGTAACCGTTCTATGGAGGTTATCGCTAACGCTGACACATTTGACTATATCTCTTGTCGAACCGATTGGAGAAGTGAAGTCGGATCTGAAGTCAATTCAGATCTGAAGTCAATTCAGATCCGAGGTTCGGCGAACACGCGCGGACCCTGGTTGGGCAGCGCGGTGCACAATACCTACGCCGTAGTATCTAGATCCTCCTCTCCTCTCTCTCCCACTACTGACTGATCCTCCTCTCCTCTCTCTCCCACTACTGACTGATCCTCCTCTCCTCTCTCTCCCACTACTAACTGATCCTCCTCTCCTCTCTCTCCCACTAAAACGAGATCAATTGACGCGCGAATTTCGAGATAAAGATAAAAAAAAACGTCGCATCTCCTCGCCGCCACACCCGCACGACGCTGCCGCTGCTGTCGCTAGACGACGCTGCCGCTGCTGCCGCTGTCGCTGCAGCCGCTGCTGTCGCTGTCGCTGCCGCTGCAGCCGCTGCTGTCGCTGTCGCTGCCGCTGCAGCCGCTAG